GTGTCTGGTAAAAGCAGAAATAAGGGAATGGATGAGTAGTCCTGGTGTCACACCGGATCAAATCTTTGAAACCATGTCCCTCTGTTATAACTGGAAACTTGAAACTAGAATGCCTGATCCTTTACAATAATTTCTGTACTCCATTCAGTAAATCTCCCAACGGTCTTTGGAGTCATGAGATTCCGAGGAAAGGAAACATTATGAGAAGGACTTCTTCAGACCGTTTTTTGTCTTCCTTGACATTTACATCCTGTATCTGGTCAGAAATTTATAACTCACATGAACTGTTCATCATAATGAGCCATTCTTAATATAGTACTAATCGAACACCTCTCTCCAAGAAGATCATGGTGTTTTACATATATTACCTAAGAACATACCTGAAGTAGGGGTGACTACCCACTCAGATTTCACCAGGGTCTGACAGTTGCAATCTCTGTGAAGTTGACTTTCACTCCCTCTTGGCCTAGGAAAGACCAAAACAAAGTTCAAGTCCTCAGTGGCAGTAGCTTCTTTGTCATCGTCATTGTTCCTTAACAACAGGATACCTTCTGCGAAATGCATCATTAGGCAGTTTCATGATTGTGTGAACATCACAGACAAACCTGAATGATATAGACTAACACACCCCCAGACTATATGGTATAGCCTATTGCTACCAGCCTGTACAGCGTGTTACAGTACAAAACAACATGAGAGTAAATCAAGCACAAGACCAAAGATGCAATCAAGAGACACAGTACACAGGATATGTATGAGGCTGCCAGTATAGCAGGGCATACAGTGTTTACATAAACTTTTTAATATGTAGAAAGAGTACATTCTAACACAAGCTTGTAAACTTGCAGCCTGTGCGCCGTATATGTATACCTCATTTATTTGGCCCTTGTTAGCCTTTGAGTTTGACATGCTTGCTCTAACATGATAGTAAAAGGTATAGTACAATAAACATATAAACCAGTAACAGTCATTTATTGTCATTATCAAGTAGCATGCTGCACATGCTTGTATGTGCTATACTTTCATCCAACTGGCAGCTCAGTAGATTTGTTTACATCAGCATCACCCAAACATGCAAAGAATGCATTCCTCTAAGATGTTCTGATGCCTATGAGGTCACTAAGCAATAAGAGTTGTTCAGCTCCATTATAATCTTATGGGACGACTCTAGTTTATGGGATCTGTTGACCAAAACTTGTGTGTGTGCATGACTCTACCACCACTACCGTGTTCCTGAGCCTTCTGGGTAGTCTCAGGTCACAGACTGAGCTAATTCTCTCAGTAGCTGCAAGGAAACCAAGAGTCAAGTCTCAGTATAATACTGTCGTAAAGCTGCAGAGATAAAGAGTTTGGGGAGTTTAGTGGAGGGAAGATTACTTTCATTGGGGGATTTTGCAGGCGCCTTCAAACGAGTGCCTGGCGCCTTCAGTGAGTGCGGCCTACAGTTCTTCATCCTGGGCCCACGTGTCCAAGCCCCCTCTGGGCATTCTGTGGCGAAGCAGTGTTATGGGGGATCAGCATCGGTGAGAGCAGGGAGCTTGGATTTCTGACCCCATCCCAGCCTTAATGAGCTGTGTGTCCTCAGTGAAGTTGCTTAGTCCCCTCTGACCTGTACATTGAGAGCATTAGACTAAATGCTTGCCAGGGTGCTTTACAGCTTGAAAGGAGAATGATCCTGTCCTCAGAACTACAGCTCCCGGATTTCCTCCTCCAGCCCTCCATGCACGGCACAGATTGAGTGTTCTCGGCGCTAACATTGGCCCCCATTTTTCTCCTTTATGTGAATATCAACTACCATGATGAATTGTCAGTTCCCTGAGGGCAGGAGTCCTAGTCACTTCATTTTGTGCCCCATACAAACTGTAGATATACGTATCTCCTCTTTCCTCTCTTTAACCTGTGGGTCTCACATTAACCTGCACAAGTCTTTGCTACCTGGAAAGGAAAAACTCCACCCCAACCTCCCTCCGGCTTCCTATATCTCCCACTTCTGTAGCTACTCTCCTGAAATAGAAGTCTATATCTTCTTCCCCACTTATCTTCCCTACTACTCCCCAACTCTCTGCAAACTCACATTCTGTCCCCATCCCCCTCATGAGCGTCTTTTGATTAATTCCCTACAAAAAAATTTCCTTTTATTGCCGAATCCAAAGGACACTTGGGCATTTTCATTAGCGGTGCCACCTTATTCTTGAAGCTCTCCCCACATGGCTCCCGGAGTTGTTCCTGCTCCTACTTCTCCCACTGCCCTGTAGTCTGTTGTTCTCAGACCCCATGGTTCCGCCCCTGGATCTCGGCTCTCTTCACTTCACATTCCCCCTGTGGACAGCGTCACCCATACCTCGGCTGCCACCTCCCAGAGCAATTGCACAGCTTGAAACACACTTCCCCAACTTCTCCCTCATCCCAGTCACATCCAGTGTGTCATGTGCAGCCCTATGCTCATCAGTCTCCCCCCAAATAACTTTCTTGTGTTTTCTTTATTTGGGTGATAATCCCATAATCTATCTGGTTGTCTAGGCCTGGGGTTCTCTCTCCCCCTCTTCCTTCCATCCATCCAGTTTCCCCTGAAGGTTAGACCTTCATCAGTTTCACACAGATGTTTGCAGTAGCCTCTTTGCCGTTCTTCCTGCCGGCTGTGTTTCCCCTCTATAATCTGTCCTCTGTAGCCAAAAAAGGCCTTTTCTAAACTTCAAATTTGATCTTGTTGCCTTGGCTGCTTAAGTGTTATGTGCCTGACATTGACTTTTAGACAAAATTTCAGTTTCTTAGCACATGAGGTCCTCTGAGAGATGGATACCCACTCCCTGTGCAGCCACTTTCGTGCCCTTCCCCACTCACTTTGGGTGACTTGCTCTGAGAAACTGTGCTCTCTCTTACCACTGCATCTGTGTGTGGGCTATTCCATTGTCCCTCCTGTGCTGACAAGTCCAATTCGGCCTTTAGGACACCAATCGGATATACTTTGCTGAGAAGTCCTCCCTCCCTCACCAGCGCCTACCTCCTTGGGCTCCCACACATCTCGCTCCTGCATCGGCCATAGCTCTTCCCGTCTTGCTCAGGGCTGCTTACGTGCCAGTGTCCTCAACTGCACAGGGAGCACCCGGAGCATCTAAACTTCTCCCTCTGGGCCTTCATTCCTCACTGCTTAGCCTAGATGCAGGGACACAGTGGGTTCCTCACACACATTTGCTGAAGGAGTGAACAAGGCCTGTGGGAAGAAAAGTGTACTCAAAGACTTGGCCCATCCTCCCCCAACACTTAGGTTGAGCCATTCTCCCCATTCTTACCTGTAGAATGGAGGCCACTTTCCTTAGCCTACATACGTGCCATCATAGGTGCCATCATAGTGTGCTTCTGCCTGCTTTTTAGGTGTATATTCTAGTCTTTGTGTAAAATTCTGATATACTTAGCCCTAAACATTTCATTCTCATTCTAGACTCTTTCTACAAATTGAATAGACTAATGAATGGAGTGGGAATATGCGTAGACCCAACATCTCAGGGCCTATGTTCTATGCATAAGAGCATCTTGCCTTTTAGCATAAACAAAGCAGCTCTGAATTACTTAGCCTCTCATCCCCTGGTGCTTCTCCCTCTTTCCTCTGCCTCTTGTGTTTGGAAGACCTTGGCAGGCATTAGCTGCACATGGTCCTGACTGCCTGATAATAATTTCCCAACGTTTAAGTGCCAGAGCCAAGTACCATTCCCCTTTCATTTAAATTAGATAAAACCCGAGCTGTGGCTTGCAAGTGATGGAAGTCCACTGGGGAAATTAAAGGTTCAGAGAGAATGGGACCCATTATAATAAAAGCATTTGCAACGCCAGTGATTCCATCTACCCTGTGGCTCCCATGCTCCTTGGGGTAGGATGAAATATGAAGCAAAAGAACCTTTGAAAGTAGACTGAGGAATTTATTTTAATTGGAAATGGTGATGGCATTCTGCGCTCGGTGTAAACTCTGCGGATCACGCACAGTGGTGTGATGGGCATTGCGTAAAGGGCCCAAGGCCACCCAATTCATCTCAGCTTCTTTCTGCTCCCACATACGTACTGAACAGACATGGCCCCGAAGCCTGTGCCTCCCTCCTTCTCCCCTTCTCTTCCTCCCTCCTTCCATTTTATCCCACACTTGGTGTTTAATAAAAATTGTATGATGGCACCTAAATCAGTCAGCTGTTAGACCTTCAATTTCTGTTGACTCTGAGACCTCAGAGAAATCCAGACAGAATGGCCAGAAGAAACACAATCTGCATTCAAATTTGAAATAACACTAAATAATAATAGTGTGGCCCTAACCCGTTTGGCCCAGTGGATAGAGCGTTGGCCTGCAGACTAAGGGGTCTGGGTTCTATTCCGGTCAAGGGCATGTACATTTCCATTAGGGGGTGTGCAGGAGGCAGCTGATCAATGTTTCTCTCTCATCGATGTTTCTAACACTCTATCCCTCTCCCTTCCTCTCTGTAAAAAAATAAATAAATAAAAATGTGTTAATAATAATAACAATAATAATAATAATAGTGTGTGTGTTTTTCCAGCATATCCTATGCCCAGTTGGTTAAACACATTACTTGCATTTCTCATTTAATTCCCACAGCCCTACTGTGCCAGTGGTATCTCCATTTCACAGATGGGGAAACTAAGTCTCAGAGAAGTAAAGATACTTGTCCAAGGTCACATAGCTGTCATAAATGGCAGGACCAGAATCACTGCTGAGTTACAGGAGGGGACGAGGTTGAGTGGCAGAACCAGATTTTGAACTCAAGTCTGACTGCAGAGCCCATGCTTTTTTAGACTGTCCGCATGACTTGAGCAGGTTCTATTCCTGAACACAAGATACGGGCTTGCATTTGGATTCGGCTCCTTTTATCTGGGAGAGGTCTTGTTATTATGGCTGTGTCCTTATCATAATGTCAGAGTTCAAGGCTAATAGTCTGGGATTTCTGAGTCTGTTATACAGTTGTTCAATCTACCTTTACCTTCTCGCTTTTGTATTTTAGATGCATCATCCCATTCAGATGAAACCTGCGGATAGTGAGAAGTCAAATGGTAAGTGGTGACCGACTGTCTCATCTAATGTCTGTGTCTGTGAATCAAGGGGTCCACTGGGGGAGGAAAGTGCCAGCCCCAGTGCTTTTCTCTCAGCAAGGTGGAGACAACTGCTCCGGAAACTTGCTCTGAGCTGGCTCATCTGGGGAAACTTGAGCTTCACTCTCTTGCCTCATTTATCTCTGGCGTGTAAAGGTCGGTGGAGATGTTACTAGAAATGGTTTTTTGTGTCCCTCTGTTGTGGGCTTGCTCTGGGTGGTGACCCTGTGGCCTCTGGCTCTTGTGTATCTGCTTCCACAGAGCAACACAGGACACCTGATGGGGAGGAATGACCTTACACTGTGCAGAGAAGGTGAGCGGGAAAGGGACCACGAAGAACCAGCTACCTTTTTTCTCTCTTCCATTTATTTTTCTGTGTCTTGGAGGCTGACTTATTGCACTATTCTCTAAATTGTTCCAATGCATTTGCATCCAAATTCATTCAGAATTCAGTCTGCTGATTAAATAAACATACATGAGGTGCAAAAATATGCATTTGGTGAGGTCCGTGATGGAATCATTGAGACTTGACTGTCCGAGACACAAGAGGGTTGATAGCCACGTTTCTCTCTCTACGGCTTTTGCTTCCGCTGACACCAGCCTTCTGTCCCTGTTTTGTTCTTTGAATTTACTGAAATGCATGTTAAAGGACTCTTCTATCTACCTTCTTCGACCTCAGAGCTTGCCCGTCCCACAAGACTGACACAATCGGCATGCTCCCTTCCGCAGGCGGTTCTGCACCTCATTCATTAGTAATCAGGGCAGAAGCCATGCACTCAGAAATCTGCATATGTGCAAATATAAATTATGATTGGGCTCTAAGTCTCTCCACAAGGTATTATTTGCTAAGTGTAGTGCATCCCATTTTCTGGCTTCTTCCCAGACTAGAACGTTTTGAAGAGAATCGCATGTATTATGGACTGCTAGCACCTGGTTTGTGTGGCAGGGAACAGACCTCAGTGCTTTGCCCTCGATCTTCTCCTCAGCCACACCTTCTCAGAGGGTTACCTCCCCGTGTCCTCCTCTACTGCATCACCAATAGGGCACTTCGTATCGGAGGGTCTCAAACTTGCCACTGCTTTGTTGCGGGACCTCATTCCTGCAACAGCGATCTCATTCAGCAATCTCAAGTCGCTTCATTCCTTCATTAGACAGTGAGTTCTGATTGTGTACTGTGTGCCAGGCACAGTACTGGCTGGGGCTTCAAGAATGGATTTTAAAAAGAAGAACAGTCTGCAAAAGCTTGCCTGACCTCATGGAACTTATACTCAGTCTGCTGATCTCTGCTAGTCACTCAAAGACTGAACTTTAGTGCCGTCATCCATAAAATAAGAATGATGGCAACTGCCTCACACAGATTGCCCTTTTTTTCAGACGTGGACATGGTGTTTGTCACATTGCGTTGTAAAGGACGGAGGACCTCTATACATATTGACTGCTGCTATCAGATTTGTCCCTGGGCATGTCCACCCATGTCACCCATGCTGAAAGCCAGTTCCCAGAACCCTTTGCTCCAGAGTCACATTTACAATCTGTTTTGCTCCCTGTGGGAGAGAAGGAATCTTGCATTCATGAAATGAATTCTGTCAGTGAAGGTCCTCTTAGAGTTCTGGCCCAAAGAGATGCTCCCTGTCCTCTGGCCCTATCACTCTGTAAACTGTGTCCATACAGCGACCAAGGAATGAAAGTTTACAGAAAAGGGATCATCTTATTTCTGAACCTTAGGTCCTAGTTATAAAGACATGATGAATTAGTGAACTGAGTAGGAAACATTTGACCTGAAATACCCAGACAATCGAGCCATGAAGGAATTTCTTTTGCATTTTCGGATGCCCAGGGGCACAATCCCTGACTTCCATAGAACAGCTGCAGGGGGTCACAGAATGGCTCGTTGCCCTTGCTGTCCGCTGCAAGGTCTGCACACTGATGTAATGTTAGTCATGATCTCAAAAGCCAAGCAGGACTGGGCATTGTTTTTGCTAAGATGAGAGAATACCTAAAAATAAGGACATTTTTCAGAGAGCAGCCCAGGGTAGCCATTAGAAACCAGTTTGAGGAGCCTGGGCTTTACCCCTGGCCCTGCACTTGTTAGCTGTGTCCTTGTTCATGTTCTGCAACCTCCCCTGGCCTCCTGTGTCCAGCTGTAACGGGGCTGTGGTGATCTGTAGGATTTCTGCTGGCAACACATGCCTCTCGAAGGAGTTTGAGGGGTACACAAGTCACCATCTAAGAAGACGGAGCATAAAACCTGGCACATGGTAAATACTCACAGTGCTGTTATCGATGAGAGTCCAACTCGCTGACGCTGGCACTTCTAGCCGTGGCTGTTCATACCAAGCATAGGCTTGTACATACAAAGGAGCCCCACCTCCCCAAAAAAAACCTTCTTGTTGGATCATTGCTCCCTTTGCTTTGTAGATTGGCCTTCATTTCCTAAGTTTCAAATTAAAAAAAAAAAAAAAGTCAAAGAATAAATAGACCAAAATCTGCTTTTAAATTGGTCTTCTTTGCGGAGGCTCTAGGGGAGCCCATCTTGCATAGACATGACCAGGGTTCAAGATTCTCCTTGGACCTGGTGGAGGAATCAGGGGCAATGTATACTTTTCTAAAGCAAGTGTTAAGAGCTGCATACCTTTTCTGATTTCACATGGCAGCTTTGACAGGTAAGCATCATTTCAAAGCTCAGAGAACACCAAGATTGCTTTGGCTCAGATGCTCGAAATAGCTCCAGTAACTGTGAAAGAAGTCTAACGAGCTCTAATTGCACTTTTATTGAGTTTGCTGACATTTATGGATAACACAAAGGACTCATCACAGTTAGACAGTTACTGCCTTCATTAGCAGGATGTTCTGACTTATAAAACTTTGTATTTTCTGAGCAAGACAGGCTGCTCATCACAGATTAATTAGTGATGGACAAATGAATTCCAGAAAAGCAATCACTTTTTCAGCCTTCATCCATGCAGCAATTCTGACAAAGGCTCTGTGGTGAGCTCAGAAATGTTGGACTGCTCTCCAATCTACCCTGCACATATGTATTTTACTGACTGGGCTTCTGAAATCTCCCTGGCTTCCTCTAGTCCGCCCTTTTCATTAGCTCTGATTTAAGCTGCAGTTTCTAGCACATTTATGCCAACTCACTCATTTGCTCCTGTCTTCATATTTCTATGCAAGGTGCCTCTCCCCGCTTGCCCTTCCCCAAACACACACACACACACACACACACACACACACACACGGCATTAGCAATAAAATGTTTCATCCTTTAAGAAGGACACACTGAATCAATACCCAGATTTCAATAGAATCCAACTTTTTTTTTTAATTATTTCTCCATTGTGCACAGTCCAGTGAAGGTAGGGGAAGGGTAGGAAGAGGTGTGGCTTTCTGGAACCACCATATGCCAGCACAAACATAGTTACTCTTTTCAATGTCGTGTTATCATGGAGGGCCTGTTTTCCAACTTTTAATCCTTCATCACTATACAGAAAAAGGTACTAGCAGTGCAATATTGAAAATTAAATGCAGTTGCTAGATCTGAAGTTTGTCTAGCAGTGAGTGATAAGAAAAGCATAGAGTTGCCTCTGGTTCTGTGCTCGGGACCTTGGTGGCTGGAGCTGGTGCACATTCTGGCATCATGTTCCTGGATGTGAAGCTTGCCCTTGACTCTGTGGACAGAGCATAGATCCATCCTGCTTTCACTCTCAGTCCTCACAGCTTGTAAGTGTCCTTGAAGTCTCAAATCCAGAAATGCCATTCCAGACCCTTGTCTCTCTTCCCAATGCCTTCTCCAAATTCCCCAGTGTGTCCATGCGCCCATTCGGAGCTCTCATGGGTCAAGATAACCGAGTATTGCCCTGAGGATAAAGACCAGCCAGGCTCCAATATGCACAATTATACAGGACCTTCCCATCCAGCCCATTTCTGATTTACTAGGAAATGAAGAAGTAATTCTAAAATTCAAAGTGGAGGAATGCACGGATTTGGAGACGGTAATTAAATGCCATATGTCAGTACTAACACATTAAAAAGTTGTTAATTAACTTAGGCCACCCCAAATCCAGGTGTGACTTTGACAGATTGTATACCAGGGTGTAAGCATAGGCTTACAATTAGGACTTTTTTTTATTTTATTTTAAGTTCCTCTTCCCCAAACTTAAAGAAGTTCCCACTTATCCTATTAACCCTTTCTTATTTAAACTGTGGAAGGAAAACTTGGAGTGGTCCCTGGTCTGGAGACCCTTCCAGTCCTGCCATGTTGTTACTGATGGCGGAAACCCGGCTGTGCAGCACAGTGTGCACTGGTCTTCCCCGTCATTCAGCCACCGGCTGTCCTGAAGGAAAAGGAGCTTTTTCCAAGACCTTTTTTCTTTTTTCCTTTTTTCTTTTTCTTTTTTTAATTTCCCTAAAGCACTTAGCAGAATATGGTGAGCATGGTCGGTTTATTTAAACAATCAGCATTCTTGTGGATTGAGAAAATAAGTAAGATATTTACTGCCTGTTCATCAAACATTGATGGAAAAGTTAAGTGAATTGGAGATAATTATATTTATTTAAAATGTTGACAAACCTGTTTAGAGGATCCTTAGCATGGAAATCCCAGGAAGAGTTTGTATAAATAAATTTTCACTGGAAAGTCAGGAAAACTCAAGGAAGAGGGAGGGTGGGTATGTGTAATTATCCCCATTTTGCCATCAAAGCAAACATGGCCCAGCTGTTAAAACCCCAGAGCAACCTTGACTAGCAAAAGATTGCAAACATCCAGCTCCCTTTGTGCATGCGTACACGTGTACACACACACACACACACACACACACTCTAGCATTTTGACTAGGATATGGATAGTATAGATTTTAATTTTTTTAAATTTTTAGCTAATAGGTGTAATTGAAAAAAGTGATAGTTAATCGCCCAATTTGCTGCCTGTCTGAATTGACCCTTCATGGTGACTAGAACATCAGAATTTCTTAAATAGTTTTTATTGTTTTAATACTTAGTTTTTAAAAAAATCTTTTTTAGCATACTGAGGAACTGCCTATTTGTTTATTATCATATCCCTCTAAAGCTCAAAATCTACAAATTGTTTCAGCTAAATACAATAATCATAGGTTTACCAGTGAAACCAAGGACCGACTGGGAATGTGTTATTTGCTTTTGTCTAAAAGAACTAAAACCAGGGTTTTTAGGATTAGAAAAAATAGAACAGGGATTTATTGTTACTCTCATAAAGGCAGCAGTCGCAGCCTCCTCCAGGCAGAGCCCCAGAGATGAGAGGGAGGACGGAGGGTAAGAACGACCCCTGGAGGTGATTCCCTCCCCACTGCCCCTATCAGTGGGTTCCTGTGCTCCGTTCCAGCCTGGACAAGGCCGTGTCTGCCCAGCGAAGGGCGTCCTGGTGCAGGAGCTCACAGCACCCCCTGGGAAGGACGCTGCTCCCTCAGGCTCCCCGTGCTTCTAGCACTCAGATCACCGCCGTGCCAACGCCGCCTATGGCTTCCTGTGCTTCTACCGGTTCGCAGGAGGTCATTGGTAGTTCACTTACTCTGAAGGGGAAAAAGATGAACTAAGAAACGTTTCGTCGACATCCAGGAAGTCAGGTCCTCAGTGGCCTCCCTCCAGGAATCGGCAGTGACCTCCAGGGCCCAGGGCAGCCTTGGACCCTCTGTTACCTTCTTTATACGTTGAGCCCCTCTCCACAGAAAAAGCAAGTCCTGGTGCCTGTCTTGCTGAAGCCAGACTGCTTTCCTCTGTCAGCCCCACAGGCGGCCTTCCTTCTTCCTGGATCCACCCCTGCCCCGACAGCATGCTGTCCCGCTCCCGCTGCCTGTCTGTCCGCACCCTGCCCGTGCGTCTGGAAAGCCAGCTTCACGTCCATCCCATCAGGCCTTTCTCAAAAACCATGGCACAGTTCCCCGTGGACAAGCCCTGTGGGAGTGTGGTTTCAGCCCGTGCTCCCGGGAGCCCTGAGTTCCTCTGCATGGTCTCCACAGCAACCACAGCGTGGGAGAGGCTGAGCAGAGGGCCCTGGGCTCCAGCATGGCCCCCATCCCATGTGCTTCAGTCAGCCAACACTGTGGCTGGGCCACTTCTCTCCCGTATGTAAGGAGGGGAGAAAGGAGAGAGGAGAGGGAAGGGAGGAGAGTTTAAACCTTTCTTTTATAGATGACAAAATGTGTCCGCAGAGGTTGGCTCATTCTCCATCAACTGAATGGCTGCCCTGCACCGAGGAACCGAGTTTCCCAATTCCAGCATCGCTCTCCCCTTCAGGCCTCATCTGCCGCCTATGGGCTGGCAAGCAACACAGGGGAGTGGGAAAAGCCTGGACTGCCGTAAGGTACTAGGTCATGGTCCAGGTTAGACCACATACTTGCTGAATGACCAGAGCGAATCCCTCTGGCCAGGCCTCGGGAATCTCTCTCAGAGCTAGACAACAACGCACCTCTGCATTCCCTCCCTCCCACCCAGGGGTTCTGTCTCACCTGGACCCCCTCGGAGCTGTGCTGTCCGGGAGTCACAGGTGGCTTTTAACATTTGCATCGGCTAACAGCATTAGCATCCAGTGCCTCCGTCACAGGAGCCGCACGTGCACCAGCCACTGCAGGGACATCGCTAGAACTTGCCCTTCCTGCAAGCTCTGCTGGACAGCCTTGGCACCGGCGCCCCGAGCCACATTGGCAGAGGCTGCGGAGTGCGGCTGATGCGCCCAACGTAGCTGGCCTAGAAGATCTAGAGTACAGTGGGTTGAGTGAAAGAGACGCTTACTTTCCAGGAAGAGGATGAGAGACACGAGGAAAAGATAATAAAGCGCACACAGAAGGTTTCTGCACGGTGATGTCTGGCGGAGGCTCTCCCTGGGCCAGGCGGCTCCGAGGGGCTGCGGCAGCCATGGCCCCGCCCTCCCGTTCTGCTGATGGAACTGCAAGGAACATGGGGGCAGCGAGCCTTCTCCCTGAGGTGCTGTGACAGCCTCGCGCTCTCTCTTGAAGGACTCCGGGCCCTGTCTTGAGCCATTAGGGCACCTTGGAGGCTCAGTGTGGGCCGGTCATCCTGAGCACAGGCATGTCGACTCTGAGGACAATCTCCCCCATTGTCTGAGGCAAACCTTCCCTCATCTTTACCCCCATCGGGTTCCAAAGTTAAAATGTGCACGTTGTCATGACAGCCAAAGTGCTCTTCTGTTCATCAAGAGCCCTGCCTCCGAGTGGGAGGAAAAGAACAAGAACCCCTCCTTGTTCTTTTTTCAGTAAGGGCTTCACCCCGAGCATGGGGTCAGGATAGGGCCACCCTGACGTAATTCTCCAGTAGCTTCTCTTCCCTGGGTTCGCCTTTCTCTCTCCTTGAAGCACACCGACCCCGGGTGCCGTCCTGGTTAGGGCTGCGGGGCCCTGGCGCAGGGCAGAGGTCCCCAGAGAAGCAGGCGCCACTCCACGCCTTCCCTTCGCTGCATCTGTGGGGACCCGGCCACGTGAAATCGGAGGAGGATGTTTTCTCCCCTCCGATGCTCGGTTCAGTTTTGTTTGCTGTTCCACTGCATCTCTTCCTCTTGTTTTTCCTCTCCTGGCCTTTTCCTTTCCCTGTCATTCAAAACCATAGACTGACTCCAAAAATATCTCTGTGGCACAGTAACATTTAGCCACTACATGGAACTTCAACGTTTTGGTAAACACCTTACCGTTAGTTTCCATATTGGGGTGTGTGTGTGTGTGTGTGGGAAGGGGGGGGAGAACTTCTTGGCGTCCTGAGTCCTGTGAGGCTCTTCATGAGTAAGAGCGAGCTCACCGAGCACACGTGCAGGAAGGGCACGGTGGGCGGTGGAGGCGGCCCTGGGCCCCGAGCACAGGCTCACGTGGCTGGCAGCGGTCTGGCATGGTCGTGAAGCATCCATGACAGGGGGAAAAGGTGAGAGTGGCCTTTGCTCATGCATTATTTTTCCTTCCTAGCTGTGGAAGACAGAAAATTGTTCATAGGAATGGTTTCGAAGAAATGCAACGAGAATGACATCAGGGTGATGTTCTCTCCGTTCGGCCAGATAGAGGAGTGCCGGATCCTCCGGGGGCCCGACGGGCTGAGCCGAGGTGAGTGTGCCGCCGCACGCAGGTCTGCTCCCCGGGCGCTCCCTGGAGCTCCGCGTCACGGCCGAGGCAGATGCAGCTTCCACACGCAGCCGGGGTCGCCCTGCGGCACATCCCGTGCGGCACAGTTATCCAGCCTGAGCTTTTCACCGCAGCTCAGACGGTCACGTTTTATTTCTCACGTCGGGAAGGTCCCGGTGCCAACATATTAGCTCAGGTTATCACTGTCAGATTATTATTACACATCCCTTCTCAATCGAAAATTGAAGGCCATACGTGGGGGGGGGGGGGAGAGGCGGGGTGATGTACATGTGGGAGAGGAGCAGGAATACTGATTGTTTTCATCTTAGTTTCTGGCTTACTGGTTGTGCCTGAAAGAAACGTGGAAGGTGTGGGCCTCTTGGCCCTGATGTAAACCGAGGAAAACCGCCCACACTGCCACGGAGAGCAGAGCAGAGCAGATAGGCACTCAGAGGAACTGGCCCTTCCAGGGGCATCAGGATCTTATGTCAAGACTCCTGGAGTCCAGAGCGCAGGGAGCCCATGTGGTGACAGAGGAGTGACTCCACCCAGAAGATTTCGCCGTGGTGGAAGCAAGGCTGCAGCTCAAGCACTATGAAGCCAGTGTTTTTGCAGGCGGTCACACAGCGTAGCTGAAAAAGCTACTCTCTTTCCATGTTTGCCGTTCCCTGTGACAAGACCACCCCCCCACACACACCCTCCCCCTCACCCCTGACTTTTTAACCCACTCATAAGGGCTGTCACTGAATGTTAACACTCTCTTGGTGGCAGTTTCCCCATCAGCCCAGCGAGGCCCAGCTGAAAGCAAGTACGTAGAATACATTTCTTCTAAGAAATCCATATTTTTTCAACACGGAGAGGATTTCATTGCACTAATGCAGTGATCAGCACAAGTTCCGTGGAGCTCGTTAGAACCGTCTTGTCCTTCCCAGGCTCTGGTTCTGGGGCGGCACCAGACCTCACGCGGAAGAAAAGGCTGGGCACCAAGTATCACAGCTCTGATTTTCACCCGTTTCCCTGGTTGACTTAAAGTCAGCACCACGTGCGGGAGCACGCTTGTTCTTCTGACTTTTAGACACACCGCTTCAGGATGTCAGCTGTCAGAATGGCAGGCACAGAGAACAAAAGCGTTCCACCCACATCCACCTCCATGGCCCCAAAAGGAGGGGGTCTGGAGCAAAACTAGGAGGAGGCGGATCAGCCTGGAGCTTGCCATCCCTGTATTTTCTTCTGCAGGTGGTTTAAAAAAAAAAAATAGAGAAGGAGGGCAGAGGCACGGAGATCACAGGCATGCTCTAACAAGTCTGAAACTCTCATTATGAAACCCTCACTGATGAGATGTGGTTCTCTAAAAATTGAACAAGACGGTGGTATTGAGGGCTATTCTAAACCTCAGGCCCAGCACCTCCATCTAACCTGTCGCTCACCACCTATTCCATAGCCCAGTGGTCTGCAAACTCATTAGTCAGCAGAGCCAAATATCAATAGTACAACGATTGACATTTCTTTGGAGAGCCAAATTTTTCAAACCTCAACTTCTTCTAACGCCACTTCTTCAAAATAGACTGGCCCAGGCCGTGGTATTTTGTGGAATAGCCACACTCAAGGAGCCAAAGAGCCGCGTGTGGCTCGAAAGCCACAGTTTGCCGGCCATGACTGTAACCAGTGTCACCCAAAGTAGTGCATCATGCTGGTGATGCCCACAACCTCCGGCTCCTGTACAGCCTCCCCTCCGAAGGCCACTAGGGTTTCCTTCCTAGCCCTCTGTGCCGTCCCGTCCTGGCAGATTTGCACCGTGAGAGCTTCTAATCGTGGGTAGTCACTGGTTCTTCTGCAGTTACAACACACATGTGCCCCCTCAGGCAGACAAGCCAGGAGAGAGGATTCCGAGGGAAAAAGGCAGGGTGATAAACAGGGTAGAATGTGTAGGAGACCCACCATCACATTTTCCCAATCCTTTTCTGCTGCCACGTTCATCCATGGAACCACCATTCTCTCCTGTAGCGGTTCTCAGTCACTCTTCTGGGTTTTCATGGGGTTTTCCCATGCGCCAGAGCACATGGCACTGAGGACAGCAAGACAGGCCCTTCAGGTGCTCACAGTGGAATCACAGAGGGGTGAGGTCTCGGACCCCCAGGCCCCACTTCGGAACTTCTCCTGACGTGAAATGTGACTACATTCGTTTCATCTTCCCACCACTCTGCCTCGGTTTCCCCATTTGTAAATACTGCCCTGCGTTATCTTATAATGCGTCACGGGTGAGCAGTGAGGGAGGTTTTTAGTACAAGCACGCCATCCACCTGGTTTAGTGGAGACCTTGACCGTGAGTTAAGAAGGCATGACTCCCACTCTCCCTCTTGCAGGGCTGGGCCTGTTGGTCCAACGACAGCCCCCACCCCGCCCCCACCCCGCTCACTTTGCACATGTCCAGTGGGGACAGTCAGGAATGGCTTTGGAGCCTGCAGTGTTTAGAGCTCCCTGCGCAGCCGTGAGCTATTTCTGCAGATAGATTGTAAAACAGCCCGAACCCACATAGGAAAGAGCTGTGCACGGGCTGTGGCCAGAGAGTTGGCCAGTTCAGACACCGGCCTGGACCCTGAAGCAGTCTGTTTCTGAAACAGTCAGGGAGGACCCTCCCCACAAGTTCATGCGAATGCTGGCTCCATATGAACAGCAGAATCCTCCTTGCTGCCCCTCCCCCCCTTTTTTTCTTGAACAGAAAAGTAATTTCTGATGAATTGATGAGCATTCCCTATGGCAAAGAAGAAAATGCTCATTTATAACCATTTGTTCTGAAATATAAAGGCAGACAGTGGTAGATTTTTCAATTAGCAGGACCCAGGGACTCATGGGTACAGGGGACCACTCCTGAATCAGTGTATTTGTTAAAGGAACAATTCTCTTCCATGCTACTATTCTGCTTTCATTAAATAATTGCAGTTTTCAATCAAATATTAATGTGTCTCCCATTAGTGGCACGGCAGATAAAGGGCGCTCAGCACTTCTGGTCTCAGTGCCTTTTGCTGGCTCAGCTGTTTCAAAAATAAATAAATATTAAGTGAAACGAGAAAGCTTCACTGCTCCGAAAACTGCCTTTAACAACTAAGCCAGGGTATAAACTAGTCAATAAAAAAGTGTTTATTGGGTGGTTCATTTTTCTTTTTTTGCTTTTCAGCTACAAGAATGATGATGCTCCCCCTCAAGTGTCTAATATCATTTCTTCTCTGTCACATCAGTGGCTTAAATTCCACTGGGGTGTCCCCAGGCTTGTTGACTCGGCTCCCCACACTGAACCGGGTTGGTGGGCTGCCAGGGTCCACAGCTTGGTACCCATCAAGCGCCACTATACTCTCAGCACCGCTGCCTGTAAGAAAAAGGGGGGGCGGGGGGAAGCCTGCCCTGCCTATTGGCAAGAAAGACTATTTTAAAAGTCCCATCATTACTCACCAGTCAGCATCCAAGTCTGCCCTGAAACAGGACAGACTCCCTCACCCCCAGCCCCAGCCCCAGCCCCAGCCCCACGAAATCGTCATGACTGTGCACAGGCAGCACCCGGCACCTGCTGATGATGCTCCCCCTCAGGTGTCTAATGTCATTTCTCCTCTGTCCCATCTTCGGCTGAGCACACTGAAGACACTCAACTAGTTTCTAAGCATGAGTTTCTCCTCGGGGAGCAGTAACCCATTCTGCCATCTTTTCTAATTTGGCAAGTTTGGTTTGAGCAGCTGTCAGGCACCTTCATGGTACTCACCTCCTCCTGCGATGGCAGATGGACCTCCCAGGCTGCTGCAGGAGCCTTCATTGAGAAAGCAGACAGCGTGCCCGGAGCCCACACCTGGCAGGTCAACTGAGATCGCAGCTCTCAGAATCAAAGCCTGAGGCGCCTGAGCCAGTACACTTGGTGTTTCCTTAGTGTGTCGATTTCCTAAAATACACATGTTTGTTCTCACCCCCAGAGCCTCACAGTCAGAATACACTATTTGGGTACAACCTACAGGGTTTTCTGCACCGTAGCAGCTGAACATTTGTAACTCAAAAGACAATAAAGGAATTCATTTCATGTTTCTTTCCCAAAAACGAGAGTCAAATCTCCACTGCCATTTAAGGTAACTTTCTGCTTGTTTAAGAATATCCCAGCTGTGTTTAAGGCGTTCCAACATTCTCCTGCCAACGCCCTGACAAATGATTTGGCAATATTATCAGGGATGTTGGCCAGCACCGACTGGACTCAGCTATTAAATCCTCATTTGTTTTTGTTATATCTGATCAGGAGGTTAGGATAGGGCCTTTGGCTCTTAAAGCATGTACACAGAGAGGGACTGGGTTTTGACCACTCCATTCTAGTCTTGCCCACATAGTGCCTAAGCGTTCAGAAATGTGGGAACTTTGATCAGATGCCCCTGGATTAACCATATCATATCACCTAGCTCTGTATACAATCTTCCAATCTCATCTCAGATATGAGATTTTGCCAATTAAGTCCCGGTCTGCAGTCACTCTCAGGTGCTGTAAATGACTGGTCTCTTCGTGCCAATTTTAAATAAGTAGACCCAACATCGGGAATGATTCACTGAACTATTAATTTTTGTGCCCAAATGTTATTACACTGATAATGTGTGCTTAGTGACCCCTGCCACTGCTGAAAAAAGATGGAGCGAGGAAAACTGGCTGCACAACTATCTTTTTGCAGCTGGATGGGAATTTATAAACAAGTTTTCCATAGGTTGAAATCTTCATGCTACACACGTTATTTTAAGTTATGCTTTTTTTCTGTTGAAATGTAGCAGGCTGCTGCATCTCTTTCAAAGAAGTAGCCGAAAAGAGGCCCAGGCATTGCAGGTGCCTTTAAAAAGCACCTGTATTTTTTTTTTATTTTTTTTGTACGTACAGAGCAAGAATTCATCTAGTTCTCCAAAAATTCTCTTGTAGCCAAGATAAAAGGTAGAACACCTGAGTTCAAATATCCTTTCAGCTGAAATGACAAGTGTAATAGATGTGTCCCAAAATCTCCTCTGTGACAGGGTCACGTGCTTTCCTTATCCTGTCTGTAGGAGGAAATTACTTTGAGAAACCTTCCCAGTCAATCATTTATCTGTTTTAGCAAGAACGCAACCTCACTGAAATAAGAGAAATCCAACTTCTTTCATTTCTATTAGCAATCTCTGACTTTCTAAAAATGGAGACAATAAATAATTGCAAGATTGGCCGCATTCACAGATGCAAATTTTTCTTTTGCTGTCATGTATTTAGAGGCTTTAAGATAGTAACATACAGGCTGTCTTATCTAATCCCCCCTCTCATCCCATCCCCAGAAAAATATGTAGCTTCATTGTTTGGGTACCTTTATCTTTTCTTTCCAATCTACTTTCTCTTTTCAGTTCTCAATGGCCTGAGAACTGACTGCTAAGACAGCACATACAACAGTCTAGAGAAGTTAAGGAGTAGACCCTTTAAGGAAGTTTTGCAGTCGAAGGAACCCCTGAGCTAAAGCCAGCCCAAGGAGTAGACCCTTTAAGACAAGAGCCATTGTTTTAGCTGGATCTCATGACCCCTCCACTCACCCACACTCCCCCCCACACACACACCCAGAAGCCATTTGTATAATAGTAGAGGAAAATTTAGTAGGAGGCAATTATGACCTAAGTTACTTCTATCCAATGGAAAGGCATATAATTACCTTGTATAAAAAGAGCCAACAGTCAATCTTGGTGGTAGGAGCTGATGTTAGTGAAAAGCCACAGAGTTGAGATCTTAATCCTAAATAGCCACAGCAAAGTTTCCAGTGGTGTTGAAATGAAAATTGAAATCTAATCAGAGCACTACCATGACCTATTCCTTTAGAGAAATTACAAAGGTTAAACAGCTACCAATCCATGAAACATTTGGTTCTGAAGTTGCTTAACTTCCTCCAGAGTAGCATAGAGAGTGAAATATTTCAACATAGGCCCTCACTTTATAAATGACACAGTAATTTTCTCTCCTGAGTAATTGAACACAGCGCACAGTACAAAACTTGACAGAGCCCCTACGGAGACAACTTGTCCCTTACTGCACCACTGCCAATAGAATAAAAAGGTTAAAGAAGTCATCAGATTTGTCAGGTCATTTTTTTTTCAGATGGGATGAGGATCATATAATTGGAAGCACCAGTCGAGCTTTAATTGCACGTTTCACAGAGGAAAGGGCAATGGGTTGAGCTTATAGAAGTATAATTTTATTGTTCTGTTGCTAATGCTTTTCTTTTTAGACCTGATGATTACTATATCTCTCTAAGTTATTTACAAAAGTTCAGTTTGTTCTGAAATTGTAGTAAATGCATAAACTGTGCCTTATGATTTTTGTTGACATTTTATATGTGTTTTTTATGCATTCGTCTGTTTGGAAACTGTCAGTTTAGCACATGTCCCTGGATAATAAGAGCAAATGAAGTGAATGACACAGGTCTTCTTGACTATTCAGAGCAGTTAGTCCAGGCTTCGCATGGCTTCAGAGATGCCTCCATTAGATTATTTGCTTTTGCCTCCATTGTACTCTCAGGATAAAGAAAACATGGGAAAAGAAAAATCTGTTCGTGTTATTTCCTCCATTAATAATGACAATGTTTTTGAAGAGGTATGACTTTGAAATGGATGGTAAATTTAGGACTCTGCTATTTTAGAGCTGAGTCTCAATATGAAAGCCAGTACAGGTGCTGTCATCTGCCTCACACGCTATTCCGCCCGTCATGCAGGTGCCTTAGAGAGGTTGCCAAATGGCCTTCATTGATGACAGAACCTGCAGCCAGTGTAGGCACATGTTGAAATAGAGAACTATATGAAACAGCTCAGCATTCATACGGAGCTAATCTCAGGCTTCAGAAGTCCCACCCAACTGGGAGGGGGATGTGAGATGAATCTCCCATGCACTGAGAATGTTGTGTGTTAAAAATTAAAGCATAATGCAAAAAGAAAATGCATTGACTTATTTTATGACTGGATGTTGTTGTGTTTTGGGGTTAATGGGCAGGCATTGATGTTTGATTAAAAGGTGCTAGTACAGTATTGACTTGATAATCTCACCAGGTACACACGCAGAACAAAAGAAATATGGTTTTGGCTCACAGAGGGTTTACATAAACCAAACAATCCACTGGCTGTTTAGACATAGGACCTTCCATTTGGCTGGCTGGCAAAGGGGCAGCCATCCGCCTTATCGATGCCAGAATTCCTCTTTCTTGGATCCACTCTGAGATGACGATGGGCTTTAGCCTCTCAGTGCTCAGATCTGCTTCATGTGGAAATCTTTTAAGTAGTAATAATAGTAAAGTTTTGAGTTAATTGAGTGGAACACTAAATTATTCTCTGATACCCAAGTTCAAACTGTGCAATGCTAAACAAGCTTAAAATCAATGCACTTTTATAGTCATTAGAGATCATAACTGAACTAAGTCTGCCTTGCTTTAGCTCAGATCTTAGTGTGCTGTGGTTTTGTTATAAAATCAGCCTGAATCTGCATTAATTTCACAGTCTTTTTCTCTTAAAAGCCCAAGGGTATAAGATGAATAAAATGTGAATTTCAGAAGGCAGTGTTTTTATTAGTGCAAAGGGCAATGAGCCGTGTAGTTGGAGTGGTGGCCTGCATGCTAGCCAACACTGTGACAAGGAGCGGGGCCAGGCACTGTAGATTCTAGTTATTTTTCAGAACGAGAAAAAGATAGCCATGGAAAGTTCGATGGGCCTCACAGGAGACATTCAGAGAAATGCACATTGTCTTGTGAATGTTAGATTGTAGGTCAGGTTGCTGATACATGTCAGAAAGTCACAACTTCCAAAAGCCATGATGATTCTATACAGTAAAAAAATCCAATGCAAATTTAAAATGTTTGCTTTATATGCACTGTTGAACCTTAGAGTAATAGAGCATTTGTTTTTGTTCATAATTAATACATACTAGTTTGCACAGGATTTGGTATATGGGTTTGCATTTGTATAGCAGTAATGTATATTTCTACATGTATACTTTTTAACTATCCAGAAGAGATTAGATATATTTATTTGCTGACATTTTGAATTTGTCCTTGGAGTGATGGTTTTATTATTTGTTGCTTACAAGTCTATGCTAAAATTTGAAATCCAGGGCCCTAATGTGTGGATGCCTAAGAAAAGATAATCAACCAGACAGAAAATGTGAAAGAGCAACTTTTTATTTTAGAAAATGTTAACGAGATCTTGCTCATTTCAAACCCATGGTTAAAAAGGGTACCCGACTTCCTTCTCCTCATCTCCATTTTTAAAAAATAAACTAATCAATCAGAACTTTCTACTCTGGTCAGATTAGCAAGTCAGCACTGTGCGTAAAGAGCAGACTATGGTAAAACCAAAGAGAGGAGTTGTTTATTTTATGTACTACTGAGAACAGTGTCGTCCTGTGGCAGTTCTCGTAGACCGTGTTGGTTTAACAAGCGTCCAACCCTTTTGTCTTGTTGTTTTTTGTCTTTCCTGCTCCCTGTCCCCTTGTTTCCCACAGGCTGTGCGTTTGTCACATTTTCTACAAGGGCAATGGCACAGAATGCAATCAAAGCCATGCATCAGTCTCAGACCATGGAGGTACTGTATCATCTGCCCTTTCTTTGTTTTCTTTGTGCAAATGATGGGGAATGGTAACGCAATTCTCTCCTGTGTGGATTGTTCCCATGACAATCACAGATTTAAACTCTCACCACCTCTCTTTTCATTCATTCATACTCTTTCTCTCTCCTTTTCCTCCTCTCTGAATTTCCTCCCTAATGGCTTGAAATGGACTTAGGAAAGCCTGCTCCCATTATTTTTTGAGCCTTTTATTGCAGTGGCCCAGGGCCTGCCATGTGAAGTCACAACGCAATTGAAGCCAAGTAGTATTCTACACCCAAAGGGTCCCATCTGCTCCTCAGCCCAGGGCTGGTACGGATTAAGCATGAACAACCCCCACTCCAAATTGCAATTTGCCCTGTGCTAACTCACGGGGTTCTTTTTGTGTGTTGTGGTTGTTTTTTAATGTGGGATCAAGTTATCTTTAGTTACACAAATTGTGTTTTTGCATCAAGAATGTTGGAGAAAGTTACTACTTCTCCCACTTCATTTAACCAGTGAAAACGCTCATGGATGAGAGCCCCCTGAAAAATTAAATTTTGCCCCTTACTGAAAAATGACCAATAATCCAGAAGCATCAAGGCTCAAATTTGGTCTTCTAATGAGAGATAGTGGCTTTCGAGGAAAATAAAATGCTGGCGTGGGTGCTTACCCGCCAATGCAGATAGATGGCTCTCCGCTTCTAGTCTGTGATTTGGGTCATGGCCTTTCAGAATTTTGCACAAAAGCATTCCAAGAGTGATATGCTGTTACTTATTCTGTACTGTCTGATAGAATCATTTGGGAGTGCATGTGCTGCTGTATTATGTACAACTGTATCTCTGTGTATGGGTGATCTTTTCCACAGGTGGCCTTGTGGCATTATCTGAAGTTATGTTTTTTATCTTTGGGGGGAAAATATTTTCAGTTTTATTTAATTAGCAAAAATTTATTAATTGATTGTTTGAGCTTCTTTTTTGGCCTCCATTTTTTGGGGAGTTTATTTTTTGTTTGTTTTGTTTTGGGGGTTTTTTTTTTGTTGTTTTTTTGCAATGCTGCATCTCCCAAAGCATGCTGGGAGCTAAGTGCTCATTATGCGTCATGTTTTGTGGCAATATTTTTACAGTGAGCCAAAGGGTGGGTGGGAAGGGAGGGGGGATGAGTGTGCATGGCATTGTCATTAAGTGTTTACTGTACTTTTCTAAGTTTTGATATCAGCATTGCACAGCCAATTGTCTTTTTCGAACTTCATTTTGACTTTGATATTCCTAACATATCTTATATAATCACTGTGTTTTCCTTTCAGTGCAATGCATTTTTAAGACACTTACACCCCCTACCTGAAGGCACGCTCAGGTGAAAATCAGCCATGATAGTAGGAGATAATTAGCGGGATTCGAAGTACCTAGGAGCCAGTCTTTACAGCCTGCAGTTTCCTATGTGACAGTTTTTGTAAACCCAGCCCCCTCACTTGGGCTGCTCCATCATTCTGGATCAGTCTGGTTTCCAGCTTCATGTCAGTTTGGAGATTAAAATGAAAGTACCATCAGGAAAAAGAAAGTCTTTACCTGTATTTATTACCTTCCATGTATGTGCTTCATTCTTAATTATTTTTATTTTCTGTAGTTTAGTGATTTGTACCTAAATTGGTCTCATCTTAGATCATTTTTTAGTCTAAATTTGTTCCTCTCTGTTGGAAACATTGCCACCCCAGCTGCTTCCCTCAGAGCCCCCTGGTAAAGCCCCAGAGGGGCTGGCGGGGGCTCTGGTACCCCCAGAGTCACAGCAGAGGGAGAGCATGGGGAAAGGAAGCACTACTGGGTATGAGCCCAAGCGCAGAAGTCATGGGCTCTCAAAATGAAAAGATTCTGCAATAGAGAAGGGGGGATGCTGATTCTTAAAGAGCCCTTGATCCTTAGTTATGGATATCTATTATAAAAAAACAAATTTGGTGCACTTGTTTGAAATCTGGACATCCCATGCTTAAAGAAGAGGGCCCGCAGACACTTAAATGTCTCATCTAATTAAAAAATATTGGCATTTAAATGGAAAATTAGACATTACTCAGTTACATTAGAGTCATACAACTGAAGTTTATTTTCTTTTTTTAACAGATTACATTATTTTCAGGGCTCTTGCTCACATCTTTAACCAAGATGTGTCATCTAAGAGATTTGAATTCAAAACGATGTGATTGTCAAGGTTTAAAAGAACACGTTTTTAAAAATAATTGATCTTTTAATATTGTATCTTCTAATTTTCTACTTTCCTCCAATCTCTCCCTATCCCATTTTTCGGTGTCATGGTTTAAACAAATAATTTTTTGCTATAATCATTGGCCTGATTTTCTACTTTTATATCCTCTTATGGTATTTAAGGAAGAAAAAAAAAATCAACAGTGAATGTACTTCTAGGAGGAGATGCTATAATTTGTTATGGAACAAATTTGATAAAGTAATAATAATCCTTTTCCATGCAAAACCCTTTGTCTATATAATTTTCATCTTCAGAATATTTTGCCCTCTTTAAGGAATTAAGTGCTGAAATATGGAGCCAATGAAGAAAAATGAAGCATAGTTTTTTTTTAAATGGTGAAAATAAGAAATACTACTTTTATGCAATTTACTGACATTTAACATTCTGTCCTATGACTAACTATTGCTACCAGAGCTAAAGACTGATACGCTGGAAATTCAACAGTCACCTCATTTTTCTCCCTTTTTTTTTTTTTTTTTTTGTAATACAGACATGATACCTTCATGTAGTCATAGCTACCTCCCCAATAAACTACCCAAGGTGATAAGAAAAAAATGCAAGGGAGTTCTCTAGGAGAAAGGAAAGTGGCCCCAGGGGAAGAGAAAGGAAACCTCCACTTAAGTAGGAAAATAAAATTCTGAGAGAAGTGAGAGAGGTCTGGTATCATGCTGAGTTTCAGTAAAGTTTTGTTTTTGTTTTTCTAACACTTGGGGAAAATTCTTTTTACCTCAGCAAAATTTAATAACTTTAATTGTGATGAGATGTGTAGACAAGCTATACAAGGAGGACAAAAGAGTGGGGAGGGTGGAGAAATGTTACCAAATGCAGATGTTTAACAGGGCTTCTAAATGGAGGTCTTCTTCATGCCTCGAGGAGTTACTTTCCCTATGATTTTTATCTGCATCAAACATGAACTTGTCCTATTTTATAACCTGTGGCCATTGCTTACTCCTTGCCTTTTAAAGGAATGAAAACAGAGAAGCACCTAGAAGGGTGAGATTTATTAGAAAATGAAGCCAAGTGGACGCCGCCTCCTGCTATCCTGTATCTCCTCGGACTGGACCATACTGCTAACGTTTTGGTTCAGAGTAGCTCAGGGACTGGATAGCGTAGATGTGGCACAGGAAGGGAGACCTTTCTGAAAACATGGGAACAGTTATGTTGGTCAAGGCCCATGTTCTCTTACTCTCTCCTCCCTTCATCCGTGTTTCTAATACAAATCTTCTTCTCCCAGTTATATTGCTGGATCAGTAGTAGTCCCACAGTTCCACAGTTAAAAATACATAAGCTGAAAATTGGAAAAAATTCCAATTTCCTTGTCCCCTGCTCACATGTGAAAAGAGATAGACACACAAAACAGGTCTGTCTCTCAGACAAGTGAACTGTGCTGGTTAAAGACCCTAGATAAGGTCTGTTGTCTCTGAGGAGGCTCTGGGAAGGCTGAAGGAAGACACATGAAGAAGGAAGGAGAGGCAGTTTAGTAACCTGAGCAAGAGCGCCAATGGCTCCACCAACCACCAGATCCCCAAGGAAACCCATGACAGTATCTGGAATTTCCTATTGATGGTACTATTCCAGAGAAGAAGAAGGAATATCAAACCATTTTAAAACCATGTCATGTGCTCCAGGGTAGTTCAGAAAGCTAGACCTAGGGCTGAGTCTGATGAGAGGACTGGACCAGGCCGTAACTCCCTCTTCACTTTCCGCTGTGTTTGACCACAGGGCTGCTCTTCACCTATCGTGGTGAAGTTTGCTGACACTCAGAAGGACAAAGAGCAAAGACGCCTCCAACAGCAGCTGGCGCAGCAGATGCAACAGCTCAACACTGCCACCTGGGGGAACCTGACGGGCCTGGGCGGACTCACCCCACAGTACCTGGCGGTAAGTGCAGGAGGCCAGTCAGTGCATGGTCCCCAGGAGAGAGGGGAGCATGCCCACTATACCTCTTACAGCCTGCTGGTCCCCTGAGTATGCCAACGCATTCATTTGGGGGACACGTTGGATCTCAGGGAATTAGTGAACTCAGCATTGATGCAGGATATTTTTCCATGTTAGGTGGATTAGCATAAGCACATGACTAATTCTTGACTGATATAGACTGAGCACAGTCCCCCAAGGCTAAATTTCTAATCCCTGTTTCAGAGACATCATAAAATTCTGCTGGACAGACTATTGTTAAGGAAACTGAGGCACCTGTGGATGGAGTGCTCACTGCCTCAGAGGTTCCTCCGTTCCATGTCAGGACCTCAACTGGAGTCCCCGTGGAACTTTCCTTCGGAGACCCTGGGTCTCCCCCATTGACTAGACGAAATATTTTTTACTTTATCTATTAGATACCAAAAAATTAGATTCTATTTCAGGCCACATCGACCCAATTCTTTCAGTCATCCCTCACCTTTCATTGTTTCTAAGCTTTCACTTTCTTGGTTTTCCCATTTCACTCTGTCAGTGTCTTTGTTAAATATCATCACCAGAAGTTAAGACAATTCCCCTGGTGAGACCTAAATAGTACAGGGCAGTGGCTGCTAGCATGGACTCTAAAATCTCTTAATGTAGCTCGAGAGTGGCATTTGTCGTAACACGGAAGGCAGTTAATACGCCTATTTATCTTTGCTTGAACTGCTGCCAAACCATGTTACCCTACTCCATGTTTCTGTTTTGGAACCTAAAGGCTGGTCTCCTCGTTTATTAATAGAATTTCATGTTGTGAGATTGGGCCCTTTTCTCAGCCTCTGTCATTGTGTTTGTATGTGTGTGCTCATCTGTGTGCTAGCACTGTCATTGGACCTAACTGTCCCTCTCAAGATTGTATCATCCACTAGACTGGCTTGATCGCAGAACCTGTACTGCTCTGCCAAACGGTCCTCCCGGGGCCCTGACAGGTCAGAACAATTGTCTGTAGAGGAGAGAAAAGAGAGACTCAAACGGGTAACATCACTTGCCCCAGGATTGTGCTGCTGCTGGCCCCACGGATGCATCCCTCTATGTGTTCCCTTCGTGTGCTCCCTCTATGTGTTCTCTCTGTGTGTTCCCTCTGTGTGTTCCCTCTGTGTGTTCCCTCGTGTGTTCTCTCCATGTGTTCTCTCTATGAGTTCCTTCAATGTGTTCCCTCTGTGTGTTCACTCTGTGTGTTCTCTCCATGTGTTCCCTCCATGTGTTCCTTCCATGTGTTCCCTCCGTGTGTTCCCTCTGTGTGTTCTCTCCATTTGCCATGTTGCTTCTCAGAGAAGAGACCTGGCTCCTATGCCTTTATACCCCAATGCCTGCCCAGTGCCCACTGGGTCCTGCACATAATAGCTTCTAGTGTGTGTTTGATTAATAAAGGAGAAGCCAGCTTCTCCAGTCTTCATATGAGTCCTCATGAAAGCCACTGACTGAATTTGCAGTCTTTTTCAGGCCATTGCTCGAGGAAGGCACATGAGAGGTTTTGCCAGGTGTCCTGCTAAATCTATAAAGGACCTGCCAATTCTTCTGGTCCGATCAGTGTAGAAATGTCATGAAAAAAGAAATGAGTCTGACTTAATAATTAGTTTTTCACAAACTTGTGCTTTTCAGATGTTCAGAGTCCATCTGTTCAGTGGTATATACAAGAATTTTTATCAGAGATTGAAGTCAGCTCACCTTGTCATGGTTTCTAAGAATCCAGCTTCCCACTCCACCATTTCCAAAAACCAAGGCACATACATGTGCAGGTCCCTGGTCCCCAGCACAGCTCCATGCCCCACAGTGTGCAAAAGTCTCTGACTGTTTCTTGAGTCACAAATGCAAGTGATTTCTGTACCCTGGAAGAGAATTAGCCCCATTCTCATGTCAAACACACGCTTCTGTACACTCCTTACTATGCTTTCTCCTACTCTGAACTGCAAGTCCATGTCTGCAAGGGCTCACGGCCTGTGAGACATTCCCTGCCTCCCTATTGAGGGGTGGCTTCTGAGCCCGACTCACCAGAGAGCGGTTTTCGTAGAAAGAGCCCTCAGCAGTGGTTTCATGACACTCCAGCCTGAGCCTGCTTACCTCAGTAGGCTCTATTAATTCCTCAAAATGTCTTTAAAGTATATTTAATTTTACTTTATTTTTTTTAAAAAAATTTTAATAGCAGGAGTAAGAGGTTGCAATCACAAGAGAATGAAAACCCCAAGTACCGGTAATCAAATAAAAATAAGGGACTTTTCTATTAAAATGGATGATCCCTGGCTTCTCCCTTTCTCTCTTTATGTGTGTCTGTTTCTCTTTCTTTCTTTCTGTGATAACTAGGTAACACACAGGGGTGAGCAAAAGTAGGCTAGATTACCAGCCATCATTGCCTAAAAGATAAATCATAACTAAGATAAAAAATAATGATAAGACAAATAACTACAATAATTGATAAATTAATGATAATACAAGAATAAACTGTTTTGTGTACTCACAACTATGAGCCTATTTTTGCCCACCCCTAGGCAAAAGTAGGATGAGAGTCAAGAAGGATGAGAGAATGTTAGAGACATTTTTCTGGTAACGGTTAAAGTTAATCCCTGTGATACCATTGTCACTGATAATAAATCTTTGGTTTAATTGGCCACTGATACTCTACTCAGTGCTTTCAAGTGAACTGATACTGATACATGCCTATTTTTGAGTCATACTTATCATGGAGTTTTGTTCCTATTGAACCAAAGGAATGGCGGTCTACGTTTTGTTTCAAAGAGCTCCAAATGAATTCTGAAAACCCTCTTTTAGATGGTGAATCCATCTCTTCCTCCAAAGCTCGTAACAACTTTTCAATAATAAATTTGGTGTGAATCTCTGCTTTTTTGTATTCGTGTACATTTTGAGTAGTGAAGGTAACTAGAAGCTTATCCCTGTGTACAAACTGTGTCTCTAGTGATCAATCTTAACAAAGAGAATATCAATACATTCAGTCAAATAATTAGTATAGTGCCTGAGTGTTAACCTATAATTCAAGTCAATTGGGCCAATAAAAGAGCATTTTAGGGCATCAGCCACATGCCTTTACCTTGTGGCAGCCACTGATTCCACGTGAGGAAAAGGTGACGCTAACTTCGTTGAATGCAAAGGGCAGCCTCACCAGATGGTTCCAAGTTCTGATGACACATTTCTCACTGCAGTGAAGACCCTGTTAAAATGGACTGTCTTGGTCATGTAGTCGTGGCTGTGAAGAGATACGTCATATCTGTAGTTACCATGATATTTCTCTGTCGGCCCCGAAATCAGTGGCTCCGTGTACATCTAATGACGGAGGAAGGGAACAGAGCTGTGAAGGGACGTGGAAGGAACCAAGGCATGAACCCTGATTGACAGGACTTACAGTGACAACCAGGCTGCCAAGAGCGCGGGCTAGTCATGCCGCCATGTTGGCTTCCATAGATTGAACACCTGGTTGTTATAAAGAGTAAATTGATTAATTGTTTTAAGGCAGCAGCATTATTGAATTTCCCCAGCACCTGTGTTTCTTAATAGAGATCAGGCAGTGCTATGGATTTACAGCCCCGACTCTGGGAACCTCCAGTCCATTAAGAGAGAGCAGCCACCAGCTGTATACAGTAACAGAAACGGGTGTGTTTGGTGTAGTTTGGGTGGCGCATGGCCCTCACCTCGGCGCTCCTTAACGGTTGTGTCTCCCTCTGTTTGCAGCTCCTGCAGCAGGCCACCTCCTCCAGCAACCTGGGCGCCTTCAGCGGCATTCAGCAGATGGCGGGTGAGTGGCGAACCACGCCTTCCCTCTGACTGTGCTGTTGTCTGAATCAGGAGGATAAGAGGGCAAAGGAAAGCAGCAGCAAGGACAAGGAAGAACAAAAGCAATTACCAGCCCTCTTCGCTCTCCGGATGGGGTGTTAAAATTAGACCAGCGGTGGGAGAGTTGCCCTCCTGCCCCTGGCATTTCCAGAAGTTGTAACGAGGGGGCACAGAGCGTTCCTGCATAGTATGCCCGTTGTCTTATTTTTAAAATTGGGATTGGTTACTGGGGAATTTCCAGCGAGATTCTTGTATCCAGGGCAAGCCAAAATGATGAACGTCCTTCTAAAATTTTAATAATAGGTGCTCCATAAAAAACGGTCTGACCTCCATAATGAAAGCCTGGGCTGCAGGCCTGTCTCCGTAATGGTCTGTGGTCCCCTGACGGCCACAGACAATTAACAGGGTGCCTTTTCCACTGTCATCCCCCAGCTGACAGAATCGGGCATCCGACGCTTTTATGTGAAAGCATCATCTCTGTTCTTGAGGAAAATCAAAGTGTGGCTGGATTTGAAAGTCAGCCCGCGAAGGGGTTGCTTTTCCTAATGAGCTGTGTCAGTGGTGAGGCGGTGCGGTGACTAGTGCAGGGTCGCTCCTGCTGTGTCACCTTCAGGCCGTTCCCCTAACTTCCCACAGGGCGGGGAAGGCCGATTGTGCAAGAAATCCGAACACAGGTGCAGGTCACCTGCTTCAGGGAACAGCAAGAGCGCTTTTTCCTCATTTCTTTCCAGAGAGGTGGGGAGCAAGGGCAAGGAAAAGAACAGGTTTTTGGCCCGTTAAAATCAAGCAGTTTGTTTTAATCAAGGACACACTGAGAAAATGTGCAGAATAAAAGCCAGATTTCTTATTCTTCCGAGATGAAAACTCCTTTTCTCTTTCTCTCTTTTTATTTCCAACTACATAACCCTTTTTTTTTTTTTTTCTTGTTTCACTTTGAATGGATCTGGAAACACTCTCCATGAACGTACACAGGTTTCCCCTCCTGTGTGCTGTGATCACCAGCCCAGCCTTTCATGGCGGCCTCACGGGCTAATGATAGCTTGTCTGACGGGACAGATTGGCCCACTGTAAACATAAAGCAGAATCAGTCACTGGGCTCTCCATCTACTGGCACTGCCAGCTTATTCTGCTGTAATTATAGCTTTTGGATTATTGGAGGGGGGAAATGTATGTTCAAATGATAAGTAGTTAAATCATTCATCAGTATCTTTATGAATACAGTTTGGGAGGCTGGCCTTGGAGCCAAGAACCATATCGAATGGTTCATTTATTTTTAGTTCTGTGAAGGGAATTTGAGTGGCATAGGTAAACTACTCAGGAAGTGTTCTATGTTTTAAAAAGAGAAAACCTCCAGATTGCAAGTGCTAACATAAATGCTAAGGTTTGTCACACTTTCCACCGATGCTAGGTTTGTTTTTCTTATAGAAAGCATGGCTGCATCTAGATTCACAGTTAGGGTCCTCGCTTTGAGGAAGCCTCAGGCTCTCCCTCTCCCACTGCTGAATTACGCAGAGAAGGTCACCAGGCTGCTGCCAAGCGCACTTCCCAGGCGGGCAGACAGAGCACCCTCACTTGTTAGCTGGGTGCTTTTTTGGCTCACCAGCCACAAGTCAGGATGGAGTTCACGTGCTTCGCATGCTCATTTACAAACAGGTATCTGTGAGTCACCTTAGAAGGTGCATGGATCGGATGGCTAATTTGAGGCACTCTGTAAATGCCCTGGGCTCCCCCAAATGCCTCATTCTTGGACCTTCAATATATGAAGTTTAGCACCCTGTGTCGGCACAGGCCAGGAATCCAAATGCTGACAGTCCATGGGGACCACTGCCTTGAATAGTATTAAGGATGTAGATGACAAGGCTGTCTGCTGGGCGAGTTTTCAGTAAAGGGTGCCCTTCATTCATAAGCATAATTGTGTCATCGTCATAATCTTTTGAAGCATTGTGGTTTAGGGTATTTTTTTAAATAAGGTAAAGTTCAATGGCCCGCTGCTCTTTCAGCTTCTCCCAGAAATAGTGCTTCCTTTTTGTCTTTGCCAGTCATCTCACCCAGTGTTATAAAGTGACCTGTGATAGAGGCCACTTTCTAGAGAAAGCCTCCCAACTCACCAGATGTGGGAGGGGTGCCTCTCTCTCTCTTGTGACCCTGACTGCCTCCCCTTCCTCCCTCACCTCTCTGACATGCCTGAATCATCAGTGTCCGAGAGGCCGTGGCCCCGGCTGATGGACTCAGCCCTCACTCCTCCAAGAGGTGCTCACAACTATTTTTGAGTAAACAAATGTATAAACTGGCAAACTCAAATTTATGTTTTTGGATACATTCCCAATGGCACTTAAGTTAAAAGCTTTCTTAATTAAGAACTTTGGTGTTAGCCTTACGTCTAAGACCCCCCCAAAAAAAGAAAAGAAAAAACACATTATATAAACTAAAGTACGTTCACAGGTAAATTGTTGTCGAAAATTGAAATTAGCGAGTTCATACAACATCACGCATGTCATGGTGCAGATGGTCTGCAACATACATGGGAGGAGGGCTATGAAGGCACACGGAGGTCATGGGTCCCAGACCCCACCTGAGGTTAAAATGCTCGCAGAGTGGTTGACATTGTGGCACAGTGCCAGGGGCACCTACACAGTTTGGATGCCATTTGTGTGTCTTCAGAGTTACATGAACTCCACATGTAAAGTTCAATCACTCCTGAATGGAACACTCACCAAAGAGAGGGAAATATCATCGTGGAAACCAGTAGCATGTGGCTGTGGACCACTCCCAGGCATGGCGCTCTGCCGTTCGGGAGACTCCGGTTTGTCACAGTCTGAATGTCTCATTTAAATGAGTAAAACACTCACTGGAGGAGAAAAATAAAGTAAATCTAAAAACAAGAAGCAGAAAAAGAAGTTTTAGATGAGAAGTTACTATTAGTTGCAATCATTAAAAGTGAATGAGACATCAGTTATACTTTTTTTTTATCAGACTAAAAGTAACTGTAAATGTGTCCCATGATTTTATTAAAGGATATCTTTATTAAATATGAATTTTAAAAGAAGAAAGATTGGGATGAAATCTTAGTAAACTGAATACTTTTATGGTACTTTTTATGCATCTATGAAGTTGATTTTCCCCTCTCAAAACTTCTAGTAAAAAACGTATCCATTTTTCCACTCAATTATTTGTTGCATGAATTTCTGAAATCTAAACGTGGGCCTGAGTTTGGACTCAGAATCTGGATTTTTCATGAAGAAGAAGGAACAAAGGAAAAATGGCTTAAGGTCATTAATTCCTTTTAACAAAAGAGGATTGTTAGAAAAACAAGAGTAGTATTTTACAACTTTTTTTTAACATAGCTCCTTGAAATAACCATGCCCTTTATCCTCACAGCATGCCCAGGGCAAAAGCAACCCTTTGTTACTACATTGAAGTTTGGGAAACTGAAGTAGGAAGAGGTTAACTAAGTTATGTGAGGCCATCGCAGTAAAAAGGGCGTAAAATGGACTAGGGTACAGAATCCCCAAGCATCAAACAACTTTATGAGGTAGGGACTGCTAGTGTCCCATTTCACAGGCGGGGCAACTGAGGCTTAGAGAGGTGGAGAAGAAACTTGCCCAAAGTTACTGCGCAAGTAAGTGGCTGATCCACATTTGACATCCGTTGCAACCTGATCCTGAAACCGGAGCTCTCTCGGTTGGGAAGCAGGGCTCAGCGTCTCAGCAAACCCAGGTGTGCTTGCACAGGTACAGCTGCAGTGCCTCCCTACACCCAGGGTTTAGCAGGCTTAGTAACACACAGGGGCAAGCTGTAGATAAATAATACAGTGAGGGCCCCAAATCTGCTCAAAAAAAGAAGCAATTCAGAGACAGGAAAAGTGTCTCCATTCTGAATCACATTTCAAGTGTGTAAGTGTGGTTTGCTTTTGTCAGGAGAATGTGTTTTCTAGAGTGAGGAATTGTTACTAGAAAATTATAGAGATTCTGAAGCAATCAATGGCTGCAGAGTGTCTTTTTTGTTGTTTTTATTGATTTGATTTGATTTGATTTGAGAGAGAGAGAGGAAGGGAGAGGAAGAAAGAAACATCAGCAGCCTCCCGCATTCCTCTCTTGGGATCAAGCCTACAACCTGGGCATGTGACCTGACCAGAAATTAAACCATTGACCTCTTGGTGCACTGGACCATGCCCAACCCATGGAGTCCCACTGGCCAGGGCAAAGAATAAGTATCCTTTGATAAACAAGAGAAAGCTTTCACTTTACTTCTGACACTCAGTAAAGCTGTGAGTTGTTCCGTTTCAGAATATCTAGTCTACGTTTTAAAAGTAACAATAAAGTTATAGAGTGCAGGTATTTGCTTCAAACACCAACAAGGCGATGCTTTTCATCAGTTTGAGGCCCATTCCCAGAGAAGACTGTCTTAGAATATCTGTGATGAGTGGAAAGAGGAGAGGTATTTAAAAACCTGTACTGGAGGCTGAGAACCTGACATTGGAGATCCCGCCCAGGTGTGAGGGGTGCATCCCCATCCCGGACCCACAAGGATTCCCGTACACCCCAAGGCTGGTCTCCCACCCTCCACTACAGACACTTCCTGCAAATGTGCTAATGGGCCTTATGAGAACCTTTTATAACCACCCATCTGTCACTTTCTAACAGACCTGATTGGCAAGCACTTGTAACAACTGACATCTGTTCTCGCTTATTGATATGCAGATTTATGGTAATTGCCATGAACAATAAGACCCAAAATTACCTAAGGTGAACATTAAATTAAATTTTCATGCCCTCTCCTTATAATTTCTTTTTAAATCTTAAGTTTCGAGTGGGCATATTTGCACATCTGTTCTCCACACCATTTCTTCCCTTTGAGAAGGACCTTCTTTTCCCCGGTGTGAGTGAAGCGGGGAATCCCTGTATTCCTTCCCAACCTTTTTTTTTTTTTTTTTCCTGCCATCTTGATCTCGGCACACTATTGGATTTCATAAAACTTATGCAAATGCATTGCATTTCTAGTCACCCAGATCATCACCCCTGTTTTGAGGGTGTCCATCCAAGCAGAGCTCTTCATGAGGTTCACAGTGGTGGCTTTCTTCTTAGAAATGAGCCCTGTTCCCAGTCAGACCAGCTTTCCCGGGATGCCGCCCTCTGCTCTCGTCTGCTGCCCTTTCTGGATCATCCTATGGCAGCAGCACGGGAGCGGCGGGAAGGGGAAAGTGGGAGCAGGCTGGTGGAGAGGGCAGGACCCAGGAGGTGCCTGTGAAAGGAGCTGAGACAGAGGAAGGATACGCTCTGACTCCCCCCACATCCCCACCCGGAAAAAAAAAAAAAAAGATGGAAAAGCCCAGCTGGCCTGACTCGGTGGTTGAGCATCAGCCTCTGAACCAGGAGTCACAGTTTGATTCCCCATCAGGGCACATGCCTGGGTTGTGGGCTCCATCCCCAGTGGGGGGCGTGCAGGAGGCAGCTGATCAGTGAATCTCTCTCATCACTGATGTTTCTTTTTTTTTATTGATTTTTTTTATTTTATTGAATTTGTACAGAGAGTAAGGGAGAGAGATAGAGAGCTAGAAACGTCGATGAGAGAGAAACATCGACCAGCTGCCTCCTGCACACCCCCCGCTGGGGATATGACCTCAACCAAGGTACATGCCCCTGACCGGAATCGAACCTGGGACCCTTCAGTCCCCAAGCCGACGCTCTATCCATTGAGCTAAACTGGTTTCGGCATCATCATTGATGTTTCTGTCTCCCTCTCCCTGCCTCTCTGAAATCAATAAAAAAAAAAAAATTTTAAATATGAAAAGAACCAGAAATGTGAACTCGAAGTGAGCAAAAGCAGAAACCCCCTGTCAGTGGGGCGCTGGGGCCTCGGTGTTGGCCCAGCGCAGAGGTAAAGGAGAGAGGCCTCGCTCCAGCCAGGAGCAGGTGGTCTGCGGCGGGTGTCGCCTGAAGAGACAGATGCAGTCAGTGCGCCAGCGAGTCTGGTGCAGTTACGGAGGCAGAGAGAGGAGCTGCAAGCTGGTCCCCACGGGCTTCCCAAGCTGCTTTCTGAGTTTCTGGAAGCAGTGTGGTCCCCAAGCCCTCTTCCTAAGTGGGAAGTCCACACCATGGCTGAGGGCTCCTTGTTGTGAGAGGCAGGAAGAGCCAAAACCACAGTCCCCAAGGACCCATGCTGTAGGCAATATGGGCTCTGTTTTATCCCCACTTCACAGCTGAGAAGTCCGAGGCACAGACAGCCAAGCAGTTTGCTCAGGGAGGTTGGTTGGCAGGAGGTGAGGCAGAACCCGGGTGGAAACCTGCCCTCCTCTCCATCAGCCATGCTGCCTCCAGTAAGTGGCAGTTGTCACCAGCAGAGAAGCCTGTGCATTCGAGGCCCTAGGAACTCAGGGAGATGAAGAGATGCCTCTGCATTGAGACGGAGACGTATGGGGGTCGGGGCTGGAGATGGGGCCCACAGCATAGGCGGCCGGGAACCGCCCTGACCACCTCTGGGGTGCTGAGCACTTCTGTCTGGGAGTGAGTGGGGAAGGGGCACCTTGAATCCTGCCAGGGTTGGCTCACTTGAAAGGACTAGGATAGAGGATGGGGATGGCCCCTCCCCCTTGAGTGCTTCAGCCTCCCAGTGCCTTCCGTGCTCTGTCTCATCCCCGGCAAACTAGAGACCAGTGAGAGAGTTTCTGAGTTCCAGAAACTGACAGCAAGATTATCCCCCAGCTCCTGGCTCCTCCCTGCTCCAATATGCAGTGTCTCTTTGCAGGCAGGGACTGTCTCATTTTCTGCATAATTCTCAGTGCAGAACCCGGGTCTGGCTCATATGGTCACTCAGTAAAGGATGGACAGATGAGTGAATGGATGCATGGGCAGATGGATGGGTGGGTGGGTGAGTGGGTAGACACATGATCGGACAGACAGTTATATAGATGGGCAGGCACATACATGTGCTGCCCTCTGCTGGTTCTCTCCATCTAACCCTTCCCTTTTTCTCCCCCTAATCCAGTTTGTCAGCAAACCACGGCTCGAGAGCCACATGTGGCCCTTTGGCCCCTTGAGTGTGGCTCTTCCACAAAATACCACATGCGGGCGCGCACATACAGTGGATTGAAATTCCGTGGCCCATGTGCAGAAGTTGTTTGTCGGCCTGGGCGAGTCTATTTTGAAGAAGTGGCGTTAGAACACTCAAGGTGCCAAAGAGCCGCATTCGGTTCTCGAGCCGCAGTTTGCCAACCATTGCCCTAATCCCTCCGGTGGTAGGGATCATTGCAGCCTCTCCTTTCCTCACACCATCTCTGCTTCAGCCCACATTTCTTCCTTTCCGTGCGAGGGTTGCACAGAGTGCCTCCCCTCCCCCTTTCTCCCCGCCATGCAATGCTCTTTTAGAGCCAAGATCCCATGCCTGGCTTTCCTAGCTGAAGCAGGGGAGCCTGAGCGGCTGGCGCGCTTCCAGTGGGGAGGTACCGGAAGGAATGCAGAGGGCGCCCCAAGGGGCACACAGGGCCTGGTCAGGCTCCCTAGTGGAGAGGGCAGTGGGTAGCGCAGCTGAGTGGTATGGCCAGACTCCAGGACCTCTATGGAGCGTTAGTGGTGAGATGAAGGGCACACTAGGCTCTACTAAATATTTGTAGAACGGATTAACTAACGATTGAGGGAAACAGTCAATACTTGATGCATTGTCAATACTGACGAGCTGACAACACTGGCGAAAGCTAAGAACTTGGATGGGTCTATAGACAGTAAGTACTGTTCTACGCACCCTACATGGAGTCACCATCGCCTGCTATGTAGACAGCAGTGTGCACACGCGTGGGTGCGCTTATGTGTGTCTATGTGTGTGAATGCATGTGAGCATAGGTGGACTTGATAATGATTAAGACAACATCTTTCATCTTTGTCCTCAAGGAGCTTGGTACCTAGCTATAAAGGTAAGAAATACACAAAAATAGCATCAAAGTGAGAGATGGTGAATGAGTGACACCAGAGTTAAGAACAAGGAGATGAGGGAGTCTGCAGGGAACACACAGAAAGTGCGTGCCCGTGTGAGGTGTGGCTGCAGGGCTGCCCCGGATGGGAGGTTCTGCCACCGATGGCTCTGTGCCCTGTGGCCGGAGTCCCTGACCCTTCGGGCTCGGGAACTCTGCCCTCCGGCACGTGGCTCTTGCCTGGGGCAGGTCGGAGGAGCTGTCCCTGAGGAGGACTCTGAACCTGGGCCTACGGTCGTGTATCTCCGTATCATTAACGGGTGCCAGATGTGCATTGCAGGTTTTCATTTTAGTGCTAAACCCTCCTCTTGCTGTGCAGCCAGCTGTGAGCAGTGTAGCCTGGTCATCTGGTTTCTATGATTAAAACATCAGAGGGAACATTTGTCGCTGGAGAGCCAACGGGGGACAGATGAGTACACACATGTTCCTCACTCCTGGCCCACTCGAGGGGGCACTCGAGGCCCACGCTCTTGTCACAAGTGTGAGGTGCGTCCATGCAGCCTTCAGGAGTCACCCCTCACCGGGTCCGGGTGGGTCTGCGCCAAAGCCAGGCGGCTCCTGTACTCCCCCGGTTCCGTTCTCCTGGAGCAAACCTGACAAATAAGACAGTGCTTTCCGCACTCCACATCCTCATAGCATGGCCTGCAGCACTTGTCCTGTGGCGGGGCTTGCCAGAGGGTTACACTCACAGGACTCCAACCTGCGTGTGTCCTGCTTCCCAGAATCCCCAGAACCAAGTGGGTTTTGGAAAACGGGTGTTGGCTCTCCCCCTGAGCCAGTAGAGCTGGGCATCTCTGGGAAGAAGGTGGAATATCAATTTGAGCAAAATGAGAGCCCATTTTGCAGCAAAGACATTAAGAATTCTTTTCTGAGTAGATAAGTCCTGACTGAGGGGTCCGGACAGAGGGTGGGGGAACCTGGCAGTCCTGGGCAGAGGCTGCTTAGACTGAAGGCTCCACAGCTGCAGCGTGGGGCCTTGGCGGGTAGGTTGCTAGAACATTCTCTGGCACCTCATTAATACCATTGGGGGCTTACATTGAACCAGTCACTGTGCTGAGTGATTTGCATTCACCATCACATATAGTCTTCACAACAGCCCTTTGAGGTAAGATACAGTTAATACTTCTACACCCTGAACAAGAAACAGAGAGGTTAAATAATTTACCCAGAGTCACATAGCAGGTACAAAGGGCGGAGCCAGGAAGCCCTATCAGTTCAGCTTCAAAGCAAAAGCTTTTCCCCAGTAAGTTTTCCTTTTCTCTCTTAATATTGTCTACATGCATCTATCAAGTTTAGAGACTGAGAGTTTACCCCTTGAACTCCCAGCTTGTCCAAGCCCAGACCTCACCTCTTCTAGACAGTTCTCTGGTGGAAGGCCCGGCTGTGGCCAATGCACACAGAGTAATCTCCACCCGTCTTTTCCGATGATCTCTCAGCCCTGAACCGATCTGGGAAGGGCATCCTGGGGTAGGACAGGCGGCACCACAGGGAGATGATGGTGCTGAGAAGTTAGGGGACACACAGGTCGCCAGGGCTTACATCCCAGGGCTCTGTGGCCGTCATCTGCCCGGCAAAGGGGGTCTGTGGCTAACGGTACCTTTCTCTTCCTCTGGCAGGCATGAACGCTTTACAGTTACAGAATCTGGCCACGCTGGCGGCCGCTGCAGCTGCAGCCCAGACCTCAGCCACCACCACCAACGCAAACCCTCTGTCCACCACGAGCAGCGCCCTGGGAGCCCTCACCAGCCCCGGTAAGAGGATGTGACAAAGGGCACCCAGGTCTGCACACACCCGGTGCCACGGGCAGGGGAGGCATGCCCAGGCAGCCAGCGAGCTTACCTGGGCATCGGGGGGAACTTGTTTCTTTATTTTTGAAGAACCAAACTTTTCAACGTGTGTGTTTTATTTTCCAACGGAAAAAGGTTTTTACTCTGAGAGAATCCACCATGCTAGTGGTTCTCACACATTCATTTTGTTTCAAAATGCTGTCCACTCAATCCTCACTAGGTCTCCACCATTATGAAGTGCTTCAATCTCTTAGTCATGCTTTTTCTCCCCTCCCTGCCCCTCTCCCCCCCCTCTCTCTCTTTTAGCAATTTAAGAATTCTCTGTTCAATCTCAACAGCCCTAATCATTGCAGTGTTACATTTCTCACCACCACCATTCTTCTCGTTTGACTTTAAAGCCCAGTCCAGAGGGGCCACCTTTGTGGCCTGTCTGTGGTCATGCCTGGGCTGTGTCATGCAAAGTCTTTCCTCACGTATGTTGATGCCTCATTCAAAAGCAGATGCCATTTTTCTTTCACACAAGCCAGACCTAATGGGGTTGCTTGGAAACCATGATTTGTTTGTTAAGAAATGTTGCGCTGGCTTCTCCTCCTCTCGGAATTTTCTAGACCTTGATAAATGACCTCACCTCCTCCCCTGGTGGGTGGAGGAGTTGGCCTGGACAATCTCCAAACTCTCTCTGACTCTAAAAACCTCATGACCCTCTGCCAGCTATGCCCAGAAGACTAGCTAAGTGTTGAAAACGCTTTTATGTAACAACACTGGTTTTCTTTGAGAGAAAAAAATGAAAGCTGCAGCACTCCGCTGACCAGCTTGCTTAAGGCTTTTGACATCGGGGAGGAAGGCAATAGCCCTCGGTTTGTCTCTAAAACAGTGAGACATTTCCCTCCGAGCGCAGTTTGGAGGGAGAAATCCAGGGGATGTTTGGGAAGAGCTGGGGGATTTGTCCTTAATATGCTGTGATCTCCTAGCAGCAGCCCATAGAGCACTGACTCCATTCTCTAAATTGCCTGTGGAAGTGCACCATTCCTCTAGGTGCCTCGTTCCCTGAAACAAATGGTGTTCCTGAGAAACAACTTCGTCATTTCTTCCACTCAATTAAGTTATAGCTCTGATGCAATTAATGATGCGTTTGTTATTTAAATAATTCATATAGTGACTCTTTTTAAGAAATAAACTTTTTTGACATGATAAATACCACTTATAAAAATAAGGATTTTTTCTTAAAAACAATTTTTAAAATTAACCTCTCTGACTTGTTTCATAAATCTGATTGTAAAGTATTTTCTCAAATAAGAACTTTTATCTCCCCTACGAAGGCTGTGAAATTATTTTATTTAAACATCACACATTTTATTATATCTTTAGTCAGAAGCTGACCTTTTTAACTATATTTTATTGGAGAGAAAGAAACTAAAAGTCACTCAAAAATCTGAACACTTTTTTATTTATTTAAAAATGATGAGGATTTGCACCTTTTTTTTTTAAGAGAAGACAATATTAACTTTATTTTGTCTAAAGTAAAGTTTTCTAATTTTTCCAACCTTGGAAAAATTACCTTCATAAGCAGCAGGAACTGATCAAATCACTGGTAACACGGTAGAAAGAAGAAAACTCTTTTTCTTATGAAAACTCTCTTCCTTGTATGACAAAGAGCCATATAGGCCACAGTTCGGACCATGATTCCTTACATTAAACTTTGATATATTATTGTAGTTACATTAAAATTATGCTGTTATTCTGACAGGCTAAGGGTATGTGGCCTGTTGTTTGCTTGTTAAGGGATCATTTGACTTTATTAAAATATATTCTTCTGTCATGATATTTGTGCTGGAATGTGCCTTGGTTCCAGGGAATCAAAACTAATATTCACATATTTGATTATTTGTAAGAGGACGTGTTGGTTTGAGAAGCAGAGCTCAAAAGCGGGTGGGAGGTACTCCGTGTGGTACTGTGAGTGGTAGATGGTACAGTCGGACGATGTCAGGCGCTGCCCTGGGAGCTGGGGCAGAGCAGCGAGCAGAAGGGACAGTCTGTCCCCTTCTGTCTATCCACTTCCAGCCCATCAGGGTAACGGACAAGAAGCAAGCGAGTGTGTGCCCTGCACGCAATGGACACACACTGTGAGGAGAGACCGGGCAGCAAGGTGGAGAGAGGAAAGGGGTTGGAAGCGGCTTTCTTTCTCGGAAAAGGTGACATTGCAGCAGAAATCTGAGTAAAGAGAAGGGGAAGCCATGTTGACATCTAGGGACAGGGCATCAAAAGACCAAGCAGGTGGGAGGCAGGAGGGAGCTTGGCATGATCACACACTAGCAAGGAGACTATGATGCTGAGCAGGGTGAGGGTTAGGGGCATGGAGGTGAGGTCTCATTCATGGCTCCACATCCATTTCCTCCAATGTGGTCAGGAGCACAAATATGGTATAACCTTCTTTAAAAAAAAAAATATATTGGTTTTGAGAGAGAGAGAGGAAAAGAGAGGGAGAGCTGGAAATCAAACCAGCAGTCTCTCGGTCAAGACGAGGTCCAACCAACTGAGCCACGCTGGCCAGGGATGGCGTGACCTTGTTAAGATGCAGTGTACTTAGGCAGCCTAGGATGATGCCTGACGTATTTAAGGAACTTTAAATATATTTGACCCTTTTCAGATTTTTTCCTGGGGCCTTACAGAAAGGGACCCTGTGTCCTGAGATGGGTCCCCTCCCTTCCTGCCCACCGCTAGCAAGGTGTCCTTCCCTTTGCTCTCAGAGCTGTCCTTGCACCGCCTCTGCTAACCAGGAATCATGGAGCGTGGCTTTCCTCCCTCCACTGAGGAATGCTTTGCATAACAGCTGAAAGTATTTCATTAGAATCCTGAAGTGTAGCAGCAGAAACGATTTAAATCTATATTTCAATTATTTTTCTTAAGTGTAACTAAAAAATCTGGCATTTAAGTGAAAGTAAATTATTTGTCTAATTTCCATCAGGGACCCTTTCAAAGTCACAGAAAACGTGGTTAGTATAGAATTCATGGCTCTCCACTTCATCAGAGCAATTTCCTGAGGGGGAAAAATGGTTGCCAAGGCCAATGTCATTGCTTTTTTTTTTTTTAAATAATAAAAAGCGAGGCTTACTATTGTTCCATGAACAACTCCATCAAACTGAAGTGCACCACTCCTGTACAGGCCTTGGCTTTGCCCTGTTTTTAAAGATGTCTCTTATGTTTCAGACAAATCTATCTAGAAAGGAAAGGGGCATTCAATCCCCTAAACTATTAATTCTTTTAATTGTAAATTTATCATTTCAATTTTTGCCAGGAACAGTCTCCCTACAGCATTATTTTAAATGATTTTAAACCATCTATGCTTTAAAACATGAAAGATTAAGCTTTAATTTTTGTTTAAAAAAAAATCCCCTTAGGCAATAAATAGGTTCCTTTGTCTCGTGGCCTTGAAATAAAAATTAAAATGTTCTAAATTGCCCATGGTTAGAATAAGTGTTTCATGCAATTATCAGATGGTAGTGAATAAAATAAGAAATTAAATCATGAAAGAATAAAAACCAGGTAGATGTATAGTATCCCTTTTATAACTTTATCCCAGGTCTTTTGAAACCTAATTTAATCATGTTTCTTATCTTTTATTTTGATACTAGTGATCCAATGCATGGATTCATGCACATTGAAAGGAAATTAATTAGAAGGTGGCCAGCAGTGTGGGACTGGGCGAGATGGGCTGGTTGCACCCTGGAGCCAACCTCCCACGGTCCCTCCCTGGTGTTTGCAGAGGGAGCTGGGTCCCTCCAGCAGGTTTGGTCCCTTGGCCTGTGGGGATCGGACCGACACCGGCTTTCTGACATCCCCCAAGGAGTCCCTGAGTTTGAGAGGGCACTCTGCAAAGTTGCTGTCATACAGAGTGTGGAATGCAAATGCAAGTGTGCAATAAACCAGACTCAGGGCTGACAGTATCCCAGCAGCAACATAACCCACAGCCCAAGGTGGAATTGGGCTCCCTCATGTCTGGTTTTGGAGTGCATCACCTGAGAACCTCCACTGCCAAGTCACCGGAGCTCTGCAGCTCCTGTGTTGAGTGTCTGCCCCCTGGTGGTCAGTGCACATCATAGCGACAGATCAAACAGTTGGACACTTAGTATATTAGTTTTTAGATAGATAGATAGATATAGATAAATATAGATAGATAGATATAGATATAGATACAGATATAGATATAGATATAGATAGATATGATAATTTGTCCTTTGTTTGCTTCAGTCTCCTATTTAATTAATTCTTGGGTCATTTTTTCTTATCCAATTTTGAACCTGTTTTGAGGAATCTGTTATGTCTGTATTAGTATAACAAGACAAATTGTCTATGCGTGCATCTAGGTCTTAAAGAAAGATAATATTTGTAGACACATTGTTTTGCTTGGTGATTTTGAGAACTTAGGTGAGAGCATTGTTATTTACCACATGTGAACATTTCTTTAGCATTTTCTGTCTACAATACAATATTGTGTTCCTATATCACATTATTTCACTGACCTTCTACTTCCTTTGGTTTCTTTTTGTTTGTTTTGGTTTTTTTATGTTTTAAAATTCTCCAAATGCTCTTGAAGTGCACTCAATCAAGTGCACACTTTGGGATAATAGGTAATTTCTTTCGATAGTGTAAAGCATTTTAAAGTACTAAGGGAGCATTTTTCTATTCCCACCGTTGACTTTTCAACTAGTTTTCACCTGATATTCTAGGCAATGTTGTTTCTTCATCTACCAGACATTCCCTGCCCCCTTGAAAGCTGTGACAGACACAATAAAGTCCCAAGAAACAGTGTGGCTTCCCTGGAGACCAACGTTGAGAGATTGGGGGGTGCGTTCCTGTGACTGGAGCCTCTCCCACACTTCTCACACAGGAATTACAGGGAGTGGCCCCTTCTGTGTGGAGAAAAGCTGCCAGCTGGATGGCTGGAAGAGCAGGGAGGCACCAGA